TCCTCCTCCTCCTCTCCTCCTCCTACTCCTCCTCCTCCTCCTCCTCCTCCTCCTTCTCCTCCTCCTCCTCCTCCTCCTCCTCCTCCTCCTCCTCCTCCTCCTCCTCCTCCTCAGGAAGACCAGCCGTCCGGGCCTCAGCCCTGTCAGCGAGCGTTTTGGGGTTGCAGGCTCGGGCGCCGAGGCGCGGCCCCCGCCCCCCTGCGGAGACCCAGGCCGAGGAGGACCAGTCGTGCGGGCTCTTTCTGGGCGCCAGTCGACGCGCGTCGCCGTCGTCTTCGCAGCCGCCGCGCCGTCGAAACCGTCGTCGTCGTCGTCGTCGTCGTCGTCGTCGCCGTCGTCGCTCCTTGTCGTCGTCGTCGTCGCTCGTCACTCGTCGCTCGTCGTCGTTGTCGTCGTCGTTGTCGTCGTCGTCGTCGCTCGCCTCGTGGATGTGGACGTGCCCCTGGGGCTCGCAAGGAACCACCATCCGCACCTCGCTGGCGGAGGCGGGCCTGTGCGAGCTGTTCGACGGCCCGCTAGTCGCGGGCGCGGTCGGCTTCGAGGGCAAAGCTGGCTTCATCGAGGAGCTGGTGCGGGCCGGGGGCCTGCGCCACCTTGGACCCGACGGGCTGTGCAAGGCGGCAACGACGACGACGACGACGACGACGACGACGACGACGACGACGACGACGACGACGACGACGCCGACGACGACGACGACGACGACGACGACGACGACGACGACGACGACGACGACGACGACGACGACGACTGCGATTGCGACGACTGGGATGACTGCGATTGCGACGACTGGGATGACGACGACGATTACGCCGCCGACGATGACGATGGCACCGCCGACGACGACGGCGACGGCGATGGCGACGGCGACGGCGATGGCGACGGCGACGGCGGCGGCGGCTGCAAAGATGACGTCGACGACGACGCTGGCGACGACTTCGATCACTGATCACCCTTGAGGTCCTGCTCGTTGACGACGACGTGCGGGAGCTGGAGCGGGCGCGGGCGCGGGGCGTACAGGTGGCCGGGTGAACAAGAAGCTAAGAATTATGACGCGCTCCAAGGTTTTTAGGCTTTGCTATTGTTCTTGGGCCGACAGATTCTACAGGTTTGCGCCGCATCAGGCGATCCCCCTGAGTGTAGACTTTTTCCCATGGTCTTTGTGGGCGTCCAGTGTGATGGTGATGCCGATGAAAGCGAGAGGGTGGGTTTTTGGGGTGTCCTGGTGGCGTCTTGGGCCGTCTGGAGGCCGTCTTGAAGGCCGCCGCCAGTAGGGTCGAACCTCCCCCACGCCCGGTGGAAATCCCCCAGGCAGCCACCAGCTCCACGTTCGGGCCCCCTACGCCTGCCCTCGCGGGCGAGGACCTCCGTCGTGGAGCTGTGGGCTGGTTGGGGGGACTTCCTCGGGGCAGGACCCGAGGCGTGTGTGGCCTTTGCCCCTTCCCCTCTTCGGCGTGTGTGGCCTTGGCCGCTCCCGCTCCGCTCCTCGCCCCACTGCTGCACACGGCCACGCCGCTCAAGCCGCCACGCCGCCACCGCATCCCCTCTCTCCTTCTCGCTCCTCGACGCTGTGAGGTTCGTCTTGCCCTCCTTCCCTTGATCTGCTGCTGGCGCACTACCGATCAGTTTCCATCCCGCAGCCGGCGACTCCGGTTGCGACCGCCCCTGGAAGTGCCTGGATGACTAGTTTCATCACCCTCTCTCAGGGGCAAACGCCCCTGAGGGGATGGCCGGGTCAGGATGACGCGCAGGTTGAAAGAGGGAGAGAGATATATATTTATATATACATATATATATAAAGAGAGAGA